GCCCGCGGCCGCCGCTCACCGGGTCCTTGGCCACGGTGAAGAGGAGGTCTCCCTCGCGGTTATACTTGATCTGCGTGATGGACCGCTCATGGCCTTGCAGGAGGATCGGCTTCTGTGGGGACAGGACGGGGGAAGACTCAGGGCCCACTGGGACGCGGGACCCCCACCCGCGCCCCCGCGCCCCGGGAGCTTACCATCCCGGCGGTGACGCTAAGACAGAGGCAATGTGAGCCGGGCCGGAAGAGGTCGTGGATAGACTTCCGGGTTATGGGTCGCCACCCGCCTCGTTCCCGGAAGTAAAAGAGAGCAGCGTTGCCATGGCGGCGTCTCTGGGTGGGTAGCCGGCCCCGCCCCCCGCGGGCCTCCCGACCCCCAGCTCAGTGACTTGTCTGGTGCCCCGAGCCCCAGACGCAGGCTCCCGATCCGCGTCCCGGAGGGAAGGGGGGCGGTGCGGGCGGGAGCGGGGCGAGGCCGGCGGGCGTCCGTGCGGGGGGCGTCGGGCGGGCGGCTCGAACCTTCCACGCGTGTGCACTCAGGGCAGGTGCTGGCTCTGGTCCTGGTGGCCGCGCTGTGGGGGGGCACGCAGCCGCTGCTGAAGCGGGCCTCGGCCGGCCTGCAGCAGGTTCAGGAGCCGACCTGGGTCCGCCAGTTGCTACAGGAGATGAAGACCCTTTTCTTGAATACCGAGGTGCGTCTGTGAACCCCCTTCTTTCTCCCTCTCTCCTGAGGAGTAGTGGCTAAGCAGTTTGAGGTAACGGGTGAAGGCCAGGGCCTCCTCTTCCAGGAGTCTTGTCCTCTTTGAGCCTCAGTTTCATCATCAGCAAAAGTGGGAATTATAATGATAACCATCTTACAGGGCAGTTGAAAGATTTAAGCGGTGAGACACATAAAGCTCTTAGCGATGGGCCTACTTCATCCCATGTGCCCACTCTATGGCTTCAGTGAGTATGTTACTATTGTGACCCTGCCCATTATATAAGGAAACCATCGCAAACCTTTCCAGAGGGAGGGCTTGGACCCAGCTGGCCCTGGGAGAAGGTGAGAAGGGCTATGGAGTACTGCCTCTGGTCCCAAGTTGGCCTGGGCATGCTGGTGGGAAAGGCTGGTCAGGACACAGCTTCTCAAGGGTTAGGGCAAGAAGAGATGTAAGAGTGGCTGGGGCTGGGAAGGTGGCTCAGTGGTAGAGTGCTTGCCTTGCATGCATGAGGCCCTGGGTTCAATTCCTCAGCACTACATAAACGATAAAAGCCAGAAGTGGCTCAAGAACTAGAGTGCAAACCTTGAGCTGAAGAACTGAGGGATAGTGCCCAGGCTCAGAGTTCAAGCCCGACAACTGGCCCCATGACTGCCCCCCCCCAAAAAAAGAAACCAGCAGAGCTGAGGGAAGGTATTTAGGGGAAACAGGTAGATTGGATCTGTTTCTGCTCCAGAAGGGCGCTCCTCGGAGGACTTAGTGGGCTCTTAGAACTACCCCTTCTTCCAAGGAAGGGCAGATGCTAGAAGCTCAAAGAAGGCCATGCTGCTCAGTCACACTGACTTCACATCTCTCCTGTTTCCAGTACCTGATGCCCTTTCTCCTCAACCAGTGTGGCTCCCTCCTCTACTACCTCACCTTGGCATCAACAGGTGGGTCTCTGGTGTAGAGCTTTTCTGTCTAGTGAACCAGAAACACTTTGTTGCCTTCAGTCAGGGAGAGTATCTGCTTTGGGTTCCCTATTTGTACGCTTTTTGAGTTGCAAGGACAAAGTGGGTTGGTGACAAGCACATGGCCAGGCACTGGAGCTGGTCTTGTGCAGCAGCACTTGATACACTTGCTGCCTCAAGTATTGGCTTTGGTTTATTTGCTGGAGACAAGTTCTCACTGTGTACCTCAAGTTGGCTTAGAACTTAGAATCCTCCTGTCTGAGCCTCTCAAATACTGGGATTATAGACATGTAGCACCATACCCAGCAATATTCATCTTTTCTGATAAAACAGTAGCCACTATTTTTAGCATGTGTTTTAGTGAGTAGCCACAAAAGCAGTAGTTTCTCTTTTCTTTCTCTTTCTTTCTTTTATTTTTTCAATTATTTATTATTTGATGCCAGTACTGGGGCTTGAACTCAGGGCCTGGGCACAGTCCCATAGCTTTGTCATTGAAGGCTAGTGCTCTACCATTTGAATCACATCTCCAATTCCCAGTTTTTTGGTAATACGTGTTTCATGGACTTTTCTTCCCTAGGCTAGCTGATCTTACATCTCAGCCACCTGAGTAGCTAGGATTATAGGCATAAGCCACCAGCATCTGGCCTTATTTATTTATTTTATTGTGACTGAGTGATATTCAACTTGAGAGTCACTTGCCTCCCAGATGTTTACTACCAGGCTTAGTTGTGTGTGTGTGTGTGTGTTTTACTGGGGATTTAACCCATATCCTTGTATATGCTAGGAAAGGACTAAAAACACTTTATCAATTGAACTACACTATAACACATAGAATTGTAGTTTGAACTCAGGGCCTTATGCTTGCTAGGAAAGCACTTTATACTTGAATTGGGCCTCTTAGCCATTTTGCTTTAGGTTATTTTACTTATCTATGTCTTCCTTTTTTTTTTTTTTTTTCCAGTTGTGGGGCTTGAGCTCAGGGCCTGGGTGCTGTCTCTGAACTTTTGTGCTCAATGCTAGCACTCTACCACTTTGAACTACAGCTCCACTTCTGGTTTTCTAGTAATTAATTGGAAATAAGAGTCTTACAGAGCCAGGTGCAGGGCTCATGCCTGTAATCCTAGTTACTCAGGAGGCTAAGATCTGAGGCAGTTCAAAGCAAGCCTAGGCAGGAAAGTCTGTGAGACTCTTATCTCCAATTAACCACCAGAAAACCAGAACCGGCACTGTGGCTTAGGCAGTAGAATGCTTGTCTTGAGCTGAAGTGCACAGGGACAGCACCCAAGCCCAGAGTTCAAGCCTTACAACCATAGCCTTTCCTGCCTGGGCTGGCTTCAAACCTCAATCTTCAGATCTTCCTCCCACTTCTGCCTCTTGAGTATTGGAATTAATTGCAGGAGTATGTCACCATAACTGTTCCATGATATCTTTTTTATTTTATTTTTTCCAGTCCTGGGGCTTGAACTCAGGGCCTGAGCTCTATCCCTGAGCCTCTCTGTTCTCAAGGTTAGTGCTCTACCACTTGAGCCACAGTGCCACTTCTGGCTTTTTTTTTTATGTAGTACTGAGGAATCAAACCCAGGGCATGCCCCATTCTCAGCCCTCTGAGCCTTTTTTTTTTTTTTTTTTTTGTGAGTCGTAGGGTTTGAACTCTGGGCCTGGACACTGTCCCTCAGCTCTTTTTTTTTTTTTTTTTTTGTGAGTCGTAGGGTTTGAACTCTGGGCCTGGACACTGTCCCTCAGCTCTTCAGCTCAAGGCGAACACTATACCACTTGAGCCACAGTGTCACTTCTGGTCTTCTGGTAGTTTATTGGAGATAAGAGTCTCGTGGACTTTGCTGCCCAGGCTGGCTTTGAGCCATAATCCTCAGATCTCAGCCTCCTGAGTAGCTAGGATTACAGGCGTGAGCCACAGGCGCCTGGCATGAGACTCTTATCTTCAGTTAACCACCAGAAAACTGGAAGTGGTGCTATTGACTTAAAGAGGTAGAATGCTACCTTGAGTGAAAAAGCTCAGGAACAGCACCCAGGTCCTGAGTTCAAGCCCCATGACAAAAAAAAAAGAAAATGTTTTGTACCTAGAAAGACATTTTTTCATCTCAGGGATTCTTCTTCTTCTTCCTACCCAGATCTGACCCTAGCAGTGCCCATCTGTAACTCTCTAGCCATTGTCTTCACGCTGATGGTTGGGAAGGTCCTTGGAGAAGATATTGGTGGAAAACGTAAGTCAGGCTGCTGTGAGTGTGGGATATAGCTGCTTCCTAGAGTCCGTCCTTCATGAGTGGGAGAGGAGGGGCCCTTCTTCCATCCTGCCTTTCCTCTGCAGCTCTCCTGCCTCCTGGTGGCCATTAGTTTCCTTCCGGGGCAGTCTGTGGGTGGGAATTATGACCAGACCCCATCTGAGCCCATCAGCCCTGTGCCAGTTCCTTCCTACTGGCATGAATGGGCTCAGAGCCCCTTGATTTCTTTTTCCTTTTTGGTGGCACTGGGGTTTTAACTCAGGAGCTTGCATTTTCTAGGTGAGTGCTATACTACTTGAACTATACCTCCAGTCTGAGCCCCTTAATGTCTGCTCTTTATCCCAGGAGCGGTCGCTGGCATGGTGCTCACTGTAACAGGAATTACACTTTGCATCACAAGCTCAGTGAACAAGGCCCAGGGGCCACCATCTACCTTTTAGTGGGCTAATTCCCACCTCAAGCTCTGCCATCACTAGGAAGCTCCTGGGCCATGGGTGCAGGCAGTGAGCGGATGGGCCTAGCACTTGCCCTCCCTGAGCCTCGGCTTCCTCATCTCGTATGGGAACATCTACCTCGTGGAGCACAATACGTTTTTTAACCTTTGAGCAGTGTTCAGCTGCTGTGATTCAGCACAGGAGACTTTATCCTTACCCTCAGCAGCCATTCTGCCCAGCTGCTTTCTTCCTGTGTTATCTCAGGCCACTGTTATGCAGCCACTATTAATTTGACCTGTTCTGGACTGTTATGGTCTGCAGAGCCCTGGCAGCAGGGCAAGCTGCAGTCTCTGAACCAGAAGTGTGACTAGGAGGTCTCTATGTTTCAGTCAGAGTGCCTTGCTGATGTTGATGAAACTGAGGGGGAAAGGGTGTAGGAAAGATGAGCTGTTAAGCTCCCTACCCATCTATGAGGAGGGTGAAATTGCTTTACTGCCAGCCCCTCTCAAACAGACAACTGTGAGCCTGGTAAGAGCTACCTGCAACACCCAACACAACTGGCCACTTGCAGCCTCAATAAATCATTAAACACACAGAGCTTAATAAGTGTTCTTTTATTGTGATCTCTCTTCCAAATTCAGGTAAAGATTCCTTTCTCTGGACAAGAATCTGACATAAGGAACTAGCCTCCCCAGCAAGGGATGCTGTGACCAGAGAGAAAGGAAGACTACTGGGATATGGGCTTAAGGACAAGAAGATGGGGAAGATTTGAGGAGGCCAGGGCTCTCCTGTGAGTCCTGGAGACACATGGCTTCCTATAACAGGCTGGTAGAGGCCAGAGACAAAAGATGACAAGTCCGTGTCCCCAGTTTCTGGGGCTCTCCAGGTGGCACAGCATGGACTGAGGCTGGAGGTGTAGCCCCAGCCTAAGACTGGTGTTCCAAGGACAGGGCTTCTTCTACTGTTTGTGCTGCCTTCTGGAGGAGGTGGAGAGCCATAAGCATGCCTGCCTACAGCCCCAGCCAGGAGATCCTCAACCCCAGGAAAAGAGAACACTAAAGATTTAAGGAGAGGTCAAGCTCTGAGATGTTAGAGATCTGCTTACAGTCACAGTGAGAGGACTGTTCCTATGGCCCACCACTGCCAGTCTCTAGCTCAGAACTCCTCCCATCTCCATTCCACTTTCTCATCCATTGGCCTACCTGATCTAAAGGCTCCTCCGGCCAAGTGTCTTTATCATCTGCAACTTCCTGGGCCCCTGCTGTCTCCTTCCTTGGGTGAGGAGCCCTGTACACTCCCTTCACTCCTAGTGAGGGAAGCAACATTAGCTGATAACCATCAGTGCCAGGGGCCTCAGCCTCCTTTTGTCTTCTCTACCAGCCACTTTCTCTTCTCTGACCCTTGTTCTACATCCCTCCCTACTTAGAGGGGGACAGGGAAGTTGAGAAGCAGGCATTTGGCTCCCATCCCAAACCCTTGTAAATCTACCCCTGAAGCCTCATGGCTTTTTTGGGGGGAGGGAGGAGGGGGGTCCGGTCGTGGGGCCAGGATTCTGGGCCTGGGCGCTGTCCCTCAACTCTTCAGCTCAAGGCTAGTACTCTACCACTTGAGCCACAGCGCCACTTCTGGCTTTTTTCTTTTTTGCTTATGTGGTGCTGAGGAATCAAACCCAGGGCCTCATGCATGCAAGGCAAGCACTCTACCACTAAGCCAGCCCCAGCCTCATGGCTTTGAGTGAACCGTTGCCACTTCCATGTGCTTCTTTCACATGGGAAATCCTTTTGGAGAAGCAAGGGACTAGATGTGCAGGTGGGGGATAAGTGACTGCCCCTGCCAATGCCTCCCATAGCAGCAGGGATCATCTTGTCACTAAGGTGCATGCACAAGGCCCTGGGTTTGGTCCCAGTCCTGGATTACCTCACCTGATGGAAATGAGGGAGTAGGAAGAATGTTTCTTGACTGAATAGCCTGCTGGGGTCTGGCATAGAAAGCAGAGGGCTCAGTTTGTCCTGCTGCTTCCTCTGGAGAGTGCAGGGTGTCAGGTGCCCTGTTGCCCTGAGGGTATAGAAAGGACCCTGGTTGTGGGCTGTTCTCACTTTTCCTATTCCTGGTCTAGGCTCCAGTGTCCCAGTGCCTGAGGGAGCTTGGGAAAAGCAGTGTTGTATCTTCTCAGTCCATATCCTCCCCCTTTGTCCCCTCCTCCCATCAGACTGCCTATCCTGGGACAACAGCTGGCACCTGGCGCTGGAAAATGTCCTGGGTAAAGCCAAACTGTGCCCCACCCCTGTGCTCATGCTCACTGGCTCGTCTCCTGGGAGTGTCCAGGCCTGGAGGAGGATGGGGAGCTGCTGTCTCCTTGGGTCCTCCCTAAGCCAGGTATGACAATTCTCTCCCAGCATCCAGTATAGAAAGGTGTTAGATTCTTTTTGTTGTGTGTGGTGGTGGTCATGGGGCTTGAACTCTGAGCCTGGGCGCTGTCCCTGAGCTCTTCAGCTCAAAGCTAGCACTATACCACCTGAGCCACTTCCAGTTTTCTGAGTGGTTAATTGGAGATAAGAGTCTCACAGACTTTCCTCCCCTGGGCTAGGATTACAGGCATGAGCCTCCTCCCTCCCTCCCCCACCCGGCTGCAAGGTGTTAGATTCTGCAACCCATCCTGAAAGTCACAGTGCTGTTCTGGCCTGTGCCACTCAGTAACTTGTCACCCTGAACTTGCTGAGCTCCCGTTTCTACCTACTGACAATGGGGATAATCTCATTTCATGAGATAATTGAAAGGGTGCAGTGAGATTAGGCCAGAGTTCTCAGTCAGTTACTCCCCTTCCTTCCCACCTCAGTGGGACTGGATCACCTACCTCCCGCCTGTGGGGCCCATACTTTGGGTTCAGAGGATACCTGCAATGAAAGGAAAGGCTGTGTTGGGCAAAGGAAGACAAAGAATGAGAGCGCACAGCTCTGAGGGCAGCCTCAGCCACACCCAGTGCCCTGAGCCTCCCAAGTACATACCAGCAGCCCCTGGGCAGGGAGGGGCTGGGCACCAGCAGCTCCAGATAAGGCAGGGCCTTGAATTCATCCTCTCCCACAGCTACATAGTAATGGCCATTCACAAGAGCCATCCCTGCAGACAGCGGGACCCCCTCCAGTGTGTAGAGTCTAGGGGAAAGGTGAGGGCCAATGGGCTAGATTCTGCTTCAGATTCAGCAGGTATTGGAGGGGCATTGTGGGTCACAGCTACTCCAGGGTGCCCTCTGGCCTCTGGGAACCTGGTACCTGGATTCTGCCCTGGCTCCGTGGGGTGGGCCAAAGGGACCTTTCTCTATATTGAAAGAGCATACTTTCCCTTGGCCTTTTCATGCTCCCTGAAACCAGTAGGGGAGACTCTGGGGACTTTGGGCCTCTGCCCCTTCCCATACTTACTTGTGTACAGCCCCAGTCTGCAACTTGACTTTCTCAGTCAGGAGCTTCAACACAGTTGCCCATTCCTCAATGGCAGCCTGAGACAACTTCAGACTAAATGGGGGACTTAGCAGGTCCCCATTCCTGAACACACTAAGATAAAGGGCAACGGATGAGAGGAGGGTCCTCAGGACTTCCTACATATGAGAAGGTAACATGAGCCACAAAACTGTGAGAATCACTGTGCCAGCCCATTTTCACCCACCAATGATTCTTTATCTCCCACCAGTAACTGGGGGAAAAAGCCACCCCCATGTTCATAATGTCACTGAAACAGAAGTCTCTGCCCCTTGTTCCCTGACACTGGCACTCACTGGATATAGCAGGGGGCACCTGCAGGAAGCCATTGTCCAAGGGCCCCATCACACTGGTAGCAAGTCCTGGGAGGGTCCTGAAACCCAAGTAAGGCCCCCAGATCAGGAGAGAGAAGGGCTTTCATTATGGAGGGGTCAGCCTAAGGATCCTGGGGTGAATAGGTTGGAACCAGCTGGGCAGGAAAAGGGGCAAGGAGGGAGGACACTAGTCATACCTTTCACTAACGCATTTCCAGTCATCTTAAAACCTCCCACCCCCATCCCATGAGTGTTTCACAGATTCCCCTTCCTTTGGGAGGGCCACATCCTGGAGGCAAGGTAAAATATTGGGGCAGGGGTTGGGGCTAATAATATCTTCTAGTCCCAGGAAGAACAGCAGCAGGCTCCAGATACACAGGTATAGAGGTATAGAGGGCCCTACAGAACCAGAAGCTCCTCTTTCTTCCAGAGCCCCTGACCTCCCAGACCAAACTGGAGCAATCCCAAGAAGGATGGGAGGACAGAGATGGGGCCAGCCTCTCCTAGGACTCACTTGTGGTCTGCCGGTCTTTCCACCTGGCTTCTTCCCTCCCGGGGGTAAGTAGCTGAAAGGACAAATCGGGTCTAGGTCATCTTGACGCTTCCATAGTCCAGTAGCTTCTGGAGAGTCGATTTAAGGCCCAGCTCCCCAGGTCTCCCTCCCACCGGTCAGTCCAGAACACATGTAGGCACTTGAACCTACCCCAAGTGCGATGCAGGTTGGAAATCTAGACAGGTCTCAGACATAAACTGTAAGGTTAAAGAATAAGAAAACAGCTGGGCACTGGTGGCTCACGCCTGTAATCCTAGCTACTTAGGAGGCTGAGATCTGAGGATCACGGTTCAAAGCCAGCCCAGGCAGGAAAGTCCATGAGACTGTTATCTCCAATAAAACCACTAGAAAACCAGAAGTGGTGCTGTGGCTCAAGCAGTAGAGCACTAGACTTGAGCTGAAGAGCTGAGGGACAATGCCCAGGCCCAGAGTTCAAGCCCCATGACAGACCAAAAAAAAGAAAAAAAGCACATTCAATAGCCTACAGTATCCCAGACCCTTTGCATTCACCAGGCAGGTGATTTTGTTTCACTTGCAGAAGTTAAGTGACCAAGCCCAGATAAGTCAACTGAGGACTCACAACCCAAGTTAGGAGCCAATTTTTTTTTTCTTTTGCCAGTCCTGTGGCTTGAACTCAGGGCTTGGGCACTGTCCCTGAGCTGCTTCTATGTAAGGCTAGCGTTCTACCACTTGAGGTCACAGTGTCCTTTCTGACTTTTACGTGTTATGTGGTACTGAAGAATTGAACCAAAGTCTTCATGCATGCTAGGCAAGTACTCTACCACTAAGCCACATCCCCAGTCTGGAGCCAAATTTGAATGAAAGCTCTGATGTCAAATTCTCCCACCCTGGAGAGCAAGTTGATCCTAACAGGAGAATTTGAGGTGCCTAAAAAAATGGAGAGAACAGATTTAGTGTTGGTGATAGGAGATCTGATTAAGAACTTTCAGGAAGGGGCTGGGAAGGTGGCTCAGTAGTAGAGCGCTTGCCTTGCATGCATGAGGCCCTGGGTTTGATTACTCAGTGCCACATAAGCAAAAAGAAAAAAACCGGAAGTGGTGCTGTGGGTCAAGTGGTAGAGCACTAGCCTTGAGTTGAAGAGCTGAGGGACAGCGCCCAGGCCCAGAGTTCAGGCCCCACAACTGGACCCCCCCAAAAAAAAAACTTTCAGGAAAAGTTTCAACCTATAGAGTCTCCTTCCCACAAGGTGGTCCTGACTATAGTGGGGTCCTAGCTAATCACGGCATAAACCTTAGTAACAAGCAATTTAACCTGCATTTCAGCTCAACAACTTGCAGATTTTTACTGCTTCTGCCTCTCCCCAGGTTCAGTGAAACCTGGTACCCACACAGTGAATACTGGAGAGGCACCATTGCTGCTGCCACTCCCTCCCTCCCTGGGCTTTTGAAACAGCCCCAGCCCACTCACGGGAGCTTGTGGAATCGTTCAAAGCCAGCAGCCACATATTGTCCTCCATTCTGTAGGTCTGCCAGGTCGGTGACAGGGTGGCCGTGACAAGGCGTGTAGAGGGCACGTACAGCCAGTGGGGCTTGTACGGCTGATGTTACATCATATAGGAAGGCCTCCATGGTGGGGTAGCGGCGTTGAGTCACCACCAGCTGGTGGCCTGGGGTGAAAGGGTCCCCATTTCTGTACACTACTACTCTTTTGGCCGTTGGCCTGCTACTCGCCATAGTGTACCCTCAGCCAGACGCGGAGCTGTTGCCAGGTAACAAAGGCAAAGTTGGGAGTCATGCCAATCAGAGGTCAAGTCACTAAGAAAGGGAGGGAGAACCTCTTTCCATGCAACTTTCTCTGCCTTTCTGACTGAAAGGTCAGGGCTTTATTTTACTTTTTTAATTCTTTTTTTCCGGGTCCAGTCGTGGGGCCTGAACTCTGGGCCTGGGCGCTGTCCCTCAGCTCTTCAGCTCAAGGCTAGCACTCTACCACTTGAGCCACAGTGCCACTTCCGGCTTTTTTTTTCTTATGTGGTGCTGAAGAATCGAACCCAGGGCCTCAGGCATGCAAGGCAAGTGCTCTACTACTGAGCCACCTTCCCAGACCCCAAGGCCACGGCTTTATGAGACCTTACAAGAGCAGGATAGGTAATGATCACTGACAAGGCAGACCCAGCATTCAATGTAAGGGAGTGGCAGAGATCCACTTAAGCACAGACATTCTAATCTTTTGAGCTCAAAGGAAGCAAGGGGAATCAGCTTGAGGGCTGTTCTCCAAGGAGCATAGCTAGCTTTGGTCTTGGGCCATGGCTCCAAGCTGGCTTTGGGGATAATGTCCTTGTTCTAGTGATTATTGAACAGGAGGTCCATAAGCTGTCCTGGCCAAGGGCTGGAGATGAAAGCAACCAGGCTGAGTCAAGAAAAAACTTTATTATCCTCCAAGCCTCCCACTCTTTTCTCCAGGGAATTTCACCTGAAATTTGAACAGCAGGCGGCAGATGAAAGGGGGTCCTTCATCTTCCTTACATACTAGCCAGCTCTCTTCTGCATCTTCTCTTGAACCTGTTAGCCATAATGGTTGAGGATAGGAGCTGGAGGTAAAGCTGGTACCAGGAAGGTAGGATGAGGGCCTATTTTCCTCATCACACTTTCACAAATAGAACCTGTTGCTCCCCTGGGTCCCCCTGTCTAGCCTGGTGCTCCCGCTTTCAATGACCTGCCTTCCTATGGATCCTTTCCTGTCTGGACTGGTTCTGGACAGTTGGAAGACAGGTTCTCAGGTGGCCTTAATCTTCATAGTGCAGCCCTCTAGTTATCTCATCCTTCATAACTAAGTACAACAGAGGTTCCATCTCTGGACCATCTATCACTGGGGGTCTGGCCCTTGGACAGTTTTATCCTGAGATCCAGGCTACCATGTTCCAGCCCTGCCAAGGTCCCATCCAGATTCATCTGGGTTGTTTGAGAGGCTTGTCCTCTGTAGTCTGGCTCTTTGGCAGTATTTCACTTTGTGGTTTGACCTTCTGCGAGACTTGTCCTTGATATCTGGATCCTGACAGACTATAGGCAGCTGTGTCCTGGCCTTCTTGGAACAGGGGCTCCTAGATTTGAGGCCCCTGAGGGTCTGATCCTCCAGGAGCTTCATCTGCTGCAGACAGAGTTCTTCAAAGGCCTATCCACCATGGTCTGGCCCTTGGGCAAACCTGTTCCCTCTATCCTGGCTGGCTGGTGGTATACAAACTGTGGTCTAGCCCTCCTACAGCTGTCACCATTAGCCCCAGCAGGGATTTTGCTTTCAGTGATCTGACTTTCTGAGGATTTATGGGACTGTGATTTTTCCCTCTTGCAGGAGTCATAGTCCAGCTCTCCCATGGCCCTGTTTCTGTAGGATGGGTCCTCCAGCAGGGAGCTTGATTGTGACCAGACCTCCTCACAGGCTTGTTGTCCCTGGTGTGGACACAGGCTGGGCTTGTCTCTGTTCTGGTCTGTTTCTGGGGATCTCAGTGTTTGTTTAAGAATTAGGTACTGTTGGGAGAAAACAGATACTGCATCATACAAGCCTGTTTGGGCATAGCAAGAGGCCTCTCCCAAACCCCACCTGTGGCCCATTCAGAAAAGAGTTCCAAGTTAATGTCTACCTCCTTTCGGCTGTTGATGGCTTGTTGTAGCCACAATAGTTCCATGGCCAAGTGGCTTTGGTGGTACTGGAGTTCCTGGAGCTCATACTGGCTATGGGACAGTCCTGGACCTGTGGTTTCTTTGAAGAAGGGGGGGGGGAAATTCATGAATTATTCGAGGTGTTGACACTAGGAATAGGTTTATCCGTGGATTCTGGCAACCCTTTGCTCCCTACCCAATGTCTTTTCCCCAACCAGGGGTAGGGAGGGAGTAACAGAGGAAGGAAGGAGGGAGAAAGCTTGTTTAGTGGATTCCTTTCATTTTTCAGATGGGAAGCTAAGGCCTTTCTTTCTCAGAGAGGATCAGGGGTTTCCCTGAACTAGGCAGACTGGTACCTGGGTTCTCCATCCTGGAGATGGAGGTATCTCTGGTTTTCTCTTGGCCAGGTTTTCTGGCTTTCTTGCTCTGCTCAGCCAGAAGCCAGAGGCTGTCATCTCTGCAGGGAAGAGTTCCTGGATCTGATGAATTCTCTCTTGGCTTCTTCAGCATCATCTCCTCCCACATGGCCCTTTTCTCAGATTCTTTACATGGGAGGTGTCTCCATAGTTCCTGCTCTGGATTTTGCACCCTCTCTTTTGCTTTCCAGGAGCGATGAGATTTTGCCTTTTAAGAAATCAGAGAGGTCTGAGAGGCCAAGAGCTAAGTCTCTGTGCATAATGGGGGCATGATCAAGCAAAGAAGTGAGCAGAATTCAGGACTCGGTGTGAGGCGAGTCTGCTGCCTTTTGCAGTGAGAAGCCTATCGTCAGCAAGAGTGGCCTCCAACACTCCCTTGCATCCCCTACCACGTGCTCCTTCCCCTCACTTGCCCTCGTGGGATGTGCACTACCTCCGGGAGAAACCGGGGCCTGGGGATCCAGCCCGCAGTCCACTGAAGTGTGCCCAGGTCGCCCTCGATCTCTTGCACAACCGCCTCATACTCAGCTCGCAGGTTCTGGAACTGCTGCCGGACTAAGAAGCCCCGGATGCAGGCCTGAGGTGGAAACCGAGAAGAAAGAAGGTCTCATCACTTCAGGAAAGGGGCATTTGGGGGATTTTCCTGGAGTCATCCCAGGGCCTGCAAGAAGGCCCACGGTCACCGGAGAAGATGGGGGGCAGCGTGCGCGGGACTCTGGGAGTTCAAGGGAGGAGACCGGACTGGACCTCCTCCTCTCTTCAAGCCCTTCCGTGCGGACCCGGTCCAGGCACGAGCGAGGGGGCCGCTGGGGGAAACCTGGGAGGCGGCGCGCGCCAGCAGCTCCAGAGGCTGGCACGCGGAGAGGAGACTGAGCGTGACGGCCTCATCTAGCAGGGAAGTCCGAGACCCCAGTGCACTCCTACACCCCGCCGCCTCGAACCTGTAACAACGACACCCTCCGAAGTAACAGTTCCCGGTCCATGCTTACGCCAACGGCCCCACGGTACGCCGGGCGCCTGCGCAGGGGAGGCGGCGGCGGCGCTCCTGAGCATGCGCAGACGCAGGCCCCGCCCCTCCGCGTCGCGGGCAGCCTTCCGCTAGTGCCGGCTCTCCTCTGCTCCCCTGTGTGGTTCCGGGGCGACACCGACCGCTCGTCCCAGCCTGAGCCGGGCCTGCAGACCCTGCGTGGCCCTCAGAGGCTTCTCGGCGAGAAGAGGCGTGAAGAGGGCAAGGAGGACATGGAGCCGCTTGCTTTCTTTTTGGTTTAATTCCATCCAGCGCCCCCCACCTCCATAGCACCTGGGGGTCTGAGGAACAGCTCCGAGTTGGTAAAGTCACAGTTTAAAGGGAATGTGAAGGAGGCGTCTGGGCCTGGGTCCCAGGCCTACGCAGCGGGCTGCTCCTCGGGCTCGGCATTCTCGGCCAGGTGCAGCTTCTGTCTGTGTCCGTCAAGGAAGGTGATGCTTTGATTCTGCCTGACCCAACCCGGCTGCACCCCCAGTCTACCCAGCCTGCCCTTCTTCTTAAGTCCCTCACCCCGCCTCTTTTCATCCAGCTCATGCAGGGCCCTTGAGCTAGATTTGCTGAGCTCGCACTGGAGAAAGAGAGGGAGAGGGGGGGAGAGGGAGGGAGGGAAGGAAGGGGGGGGGAGAGAGAGAGAGAGAGAGAGAGTGTGTGTTTGGGCGCTCATTTCTTACAAGACCAAATAAAGTAGTCTAGATTACTAAGTAAATAAGAAATTGTTCAATGCTACCAGGATAGGAGGACACCAAACAGGCTTCATAATATATTGGTATCATCTAGCACTACAAAGCCTGTGCCATTGGCTCATGCCTGTAATCCTAGCTAGGAGATTTAGCAGCCAGAAGTGGAGTAGAGTGCTAGTCTTGAGCAAAAACATCTTAGGGATAGTGCCCAGGCACAAAGTTCAAGCCCCAGGATTGGCACACCAAATACACACACACACACATATACATATATATTTTTAAGTCAGTGGTGAGGCTTGAACTCAGGTCTGGACACTGTCCCTGAGCTTTTTTTTTTTTTTCTTTTTTTGTCGGTCGTGGGGCTTGAACTGGGCTTGGGCGCTGTCTATGTGCTCTTCAGCTCAAGGTGAGCGCTCTACCGCTTGACCCACAGCACCACTTCTGGTTTTCCAGTGGTTTATTGGAGATAAGAGTCTCACGGAGTTTCCTGCCTGGGCTGGCTTTGAACCGTGATCCTCAGATCTCAGCCTCCTGAGTGGCTAGGATTACAGGCGTGAGCCACCGGCACCCAGCTTCCCTGAGCTTTTTTGGTCAAGGCTAATGCTCTACCACTTTGAGCCACAGCTCCACTTCTGCTTTTCTGGTGGTTAATTGAAGAGCAGAGTCTCACGCACTTTCTTGCCTGGGCTGGCTTTGGACTGTGATCCTCAGATCTCAGCCTCCAGAGTAGCTAGGATTACAGAGCTGAGCCACCAGTGCCTGGTAAATTAAAGATTTTGATCAGTAGGTAAAACATATTCCCTACATCCTCTTTTCTCCTAGTATTTGGGACATTCTATGCTGATCTCTTTGGGTGGGGGTGGTCTGTGGCTATTGCTGAGCAGTAAGACTGCTGCTTATGTGTGGATGAATACTCCTGAGCAAGGTAGAGAAACTGACCTCATCTCCTCCCTCATCCTTGCCCCAAGGGGGAAATGTACACACATAAAGACTCAAAGGATACATGGAATTACTAAGATCTTCCAGCTATCAACAACAACAACAAAAAAAAAAAAGTGTTCTGTTAGAAGAGAGACCAGAACAAACCCAGATGCCCTTCCACCTCTTCCGGTGGAAGTTGTGGGCCCCAACTTTCTTGGATCCGTATACCCTCACCTTTCTACCAGGAACTTGGAAAGGTGTACCTCCCCCCATCTGTAGGGCCCCAGGATACAAAGCACCCAATTTTTTTTTTTTGGGTCCGGTTGTGGGGCCTGAACTCTGGGCCTGGGTGCTGTCCCTCAGCTCTTCAGCTCAAGGCTAGCACTCTACCACTTGAGCTACAGCGCCACTTCCGGCTTTTTTTTTCTTTTTGCTTATGTGGTGCTGAGGAATCGAACCCAGGGCCTCATGCATGCAAGGCAAGCGCTCTACCACTGAGCCACCTTCCCAGCTCCAAAGCACCCAATTTTATGACCCACATTGCTAAGCAGCTGGTCCAAGTTTCTATCAGCCATCGTCTTCTTCTGCTCCTCAGGCAACCCCTCAGTGACCCCATCCTCTTCTTCATCATCTTCCTCCTCACCACACACATCCAGGCTGAAATGTAGCCGGGCCAGCTTCTCCTGCATTTCTCGAACATGCTCCAGTTGCTCGAAGGAGCATTCCTTCCCTGAACAGTCAGTGTATGAGCCTTGATAGCCAGCCTAGGGTGCTGGCCCCAGCCATACCTCAGAGACCAGAGCTCCAGCCCCATTCTCATCCCCTCTCTGCCCAGCCCCAGGGCTCACCAAAGGCCTGCAGTCGTCCAGAATGGAAATCATTGAGTAAGTTCAGCAGTCCCCCTTCCATCTCATAGACATCAGTCACCTCAGTCAGGAAAGAATGCTGCAGGGGCGTTCCTGCTGAGCCGGCCCCTCCTCCAGCCAGCACAGGCCGGCATTTCTCCTTGCCCACTCTAGGTAGGATGGACATGACCATTATCACAAGGTGCAGTGCAGTCTGGTATCCCTGGATGCCTACTGCCATTTGTGCATTAATTCATCTGTTCATACACTCATCAAAATAAAGATGATTATGGGTCAGTAATCCTAGCTACTTAGGAGGCTGAGAGCTGAAGATCACTGTTTGAAGCTAGCTAGGGTAGGAAAGTCCATAGGACTTTTAGCTCTAACCAGAAAAAGGCAGAAGTGGCTGGGTGCCCGTGGCTCATGCCTGTAATACTAACTACTCAGGAGGCTGAGATCTAAGGATCATGGTTCAAAGCCAGCCCAGGCAGGAAACTCCATGAGACTCATCTCCAATTAACCACCAGAAAACTGGAAGTGGCACTGTAGTTCAAGTAGTAGAGCGCTTGCCTAGGACAGTGCCTAGGCCCAGAGTTCAAGACACATGACAAATGAACAAAAAAAAGCCAGAATGAAGATGTGGTTTAAGTAGTAGAGTGCCAACTTGGAGTGAAAAAGCTAAGGGACAGCACTCAGGCTTTGAGTTCAAGCCCCAACTAGCACAAGAAACAAACAAAAATGGTTATTGTTCTGCCCTTGCTCTGGGCACCAGGATTGGTAGAGGGAAAGGAATAAGTAAAATGGGAGAAGGTAAGAAGTGCAAAAGAAGTATGTTTTGTGGGCTGGGTATGTGACCTAGTGGTAGAGTGCTTGCCTAGCATGCATGAAGCTTTGGGTTCGATTCCTTGGTACCACATACACAGAAAAAGCCAGAAGAGGTGCTGTCAAGTGTTAGAGTGCTAGCCTTGAGCAAAAGAAGCTCAGGCCCCAAGTTCAGTCCCTAGGACTAGAGGGAAAAAAAAGTGTCTGTTTTGGCTGGGAATGTGACTTAGTGGTAGAGTGCTTGCTTAGTCTGCATGAAGCTCTGGGTTTGACTCCTCAGTACCACATAAAGGGGAAAAGCTGGAAGTGGTGCTATGGCTCAAGTGGTAGAGTGCTAGCCTTGAGCAAAAGAAGCTCAGGGACAGTGCCCAGGCCCTGAGTTCAAGCCCCAGGACTAGAGAAAAGAAAGACAAGAAAGAAAGAGAGAAATAGAAACAAGCAAAGAAAGAAAGAAGCTGGGTGCCGGTGGCTCATGCCTGTAATCCTAGCTATTCAGGAAGCTGAGATCTGAGGACTTGCAGTTCAAAGCCAGCCTGGGCAGGAAACTCCATGAGAGTCTTGTCTCTAATAAACCATTAGAAAACCGGAAGTGGCACTGTAGCTCAAGTGGTAGAGCGCTTGCCTTGAGCTGAAGAGCGCAGGGACAGAGTTCAAGCTCCACGACCGACCAAAAAGAAAGAAAGAAAAAGAAAGTCTGTTTTGCAGGGCACCAGTGTCTCATTCCTGTAATCCTAGTTACTCAGAAGGCTGAGACCTGGAGGACTGGAGTTCAAAGCTAGCTTGACCAGAAAGATCCATGAGATGCCATCTACAAAATAACCAGTAAAAATCCAGACTGGAGATGTGGCAGGAGTGATGGAATACTAGCCATAAGTAAGCCAAGCAAGTTCCAGGCCCGTAGTTTAAACTCCAGTACTGTCAAAAACAAGGAGGAGGGTGGGGGGTGGGGTGGGGGGAGAAATAGCAAGAGAGAGGAGAGAGAAAGTCTGTTTTCTACTAATAGCACACTCAGAGTCAAGCCGCAGGGGATTGTGATTCTCAGAGAGCTTCGCTTATCCTCCTGTGACTGGATGAGTCACTTGTTCACTTGTTCTTGGTTTTCAGTGAATTTGGGGATAGCTGCTCCTTTATTGCTGTCAAAACTGTCTTGCTTTCTAAAAAAAAAAAACTTTCTCTCTCTTCTCTAGTAGCCTTTTCTACTGTTCTTGCCACGTTACCCTGGGTTTCAGCTGTGTCCCACTCACTGAGTACCTACTCTCAGCAAGTGCTCTATAATTTCTCCCATGCCTCCAGCCCTGCTTTTTTTGTTTATTTGGGATTTTTTTTGGGGGGTCCGGTCATGGTGCCTGAACTCTGGGCCTGGGCGCTGTCCTTCAGCTCTTCAGCTCAAGGCTAGCGCTCTACCACTTGAGCCACAGCGCCACTTCTGGCTTTTTTCTTTTTGCTTATGTGGTGCTGAAGAATTGAACCCAGGGCCTCAGGCATGCAAGGCAAGCGCTCTACCACTGAGCCACCTTCCCAGCCCCTGTTTGGGATTTTTTAATAATTAGTTTATTGTTATTAGAGAGGTGATATACAAAGGGATTTCAGTTACATGACTCAGATAATAAGTCAATTTTGTACAGTGTCATCTGTTCTCTTACTCTCCCTCCCATCTCCACCCATGAGTTATACAGTCCACTTTCATCAGTGTCCAGTGAGCTCCACTGCTACACTTTCTCACCCTTTTTCCCTCAAGTTTTTGTAACCCCCCTACCCTCCCGAAGATATACATGTGAATATATCATACATAAAGAGAAAATAGAATCATCAAAAAGTAAAAATGAGGGGCTGTGAAGGTGGCTCAGTGGTAGAGTGCTTGCCTCACATGCATGAGGCCCTGGGTTCGATTCCTATGCACCACATAAACAGAAAAGGCTGGAATTGGCGCTGTGACTCAAGTGGTAGAGTGCTAGCCTTGAGCTGAAGAGCTCAGGGACAGCACCCAGGCCCAGAGTTCAAACCCTATGACTGACAAAAAAATAAAAATAAAAATTAGCTGGGCACCAGGGCTCAAGCCTGTAATCCTTGCTACTCAGGAGGCTGATCTCTGGGAATCATGGTTTGAAGCATTTGGGGATAGAAAAGTCCAAGAGACTCTTTTGTGTGTGTGTGTGTGTGTGTGTGTGTGTGTGTGTGTGTGTCCGTCGTGGGGTTTGAACTCTGGGCTTGGGTGCTGTCCCTCAGCTCAAGGCTAGTACTCTACCACTTGAGCCACAGCACCCACTTCCGGATTTTTCTGTTTATGTGGTGCTGAGGAATCGAACCCAGGGCCTCATGCATGGGAGACAAGCACTCTACTACTGAGCCACCTTCCTAGCCTGAGACTCTTATCTCTAATAAACTACTCAGAAAAAGACAGAAGTGGCACCGTGGCTATACAATAGCCTTGAACAAAAGAAAAGCTCAAGGACAGAACCCAGCCCAGAGTTCAAGCCCCAGGACAGATCAAAACCAAAAAAAAAATAATAAAATAAATGAAACAATATAAAACAAAAGAGAGATCGCTTGTTTCCATATCTTGTTTCATATATATATATATATATATATATATATGTGTTATTTTATATAAATATAGAGGCACATAGCATTGTGCCTTTGTGTTTCTCTCCAAAGAGTATCCTCTTTTGGTTTCATAGTGTGTGAGTCTCTAGAATCCTGTATAATTTTTCTTTTTCTTTTTTTTGGGGGTCTGGTCGTGGGGCCTGAACTCTGGGCCTGGGCACTGCCCTCAGCTCTTCAGCTCAAGGCTAGCACACTACCACTTGAGCCACAGCGCCACTTCTACCTTTTTTTTCCTGCTTTTGTGGTGCTGAGGAATTGAACCCAGGGCCTCATGCATGCAAGACAAGCACTCTACCACTGAGCCACCTTCTCAGCCCCCTGTATAATTTTTCATATCCCAGTGTATATTTTAGATGTAATTTCCACATATCAGAGAGGACATGTGCTGTGTGTGCTGTCTGTCTCTCTGAGCTTGGCTTACCTCATGTAATGTGATTTTTTTTTTCTGTTGGTTGTGGGGCTTGCTTTCAGGGCCTGGACGCTGTCCCTAAGCTCTTTTGCTCAAGGCTAGCAGTATTCCAGTTTGAGCCATAGCTCCACTTCTGGTTTTTGAGTAGTTTATTGGGGATAATAGTCTCACAGGGACTTTTCTGTCTGGGCTAGCTTTGAACCTTGACCCTCAGATCTCAGCTTCTTGAGTAGCCAGGATTATAGGTGTGAACCACCAATGGCTGGCCTAGAACATTCTTTTCAGTGTGACCAGCAGGCTCATCTGACTTTCCCGGGAGTAGCAGGGTGCTCACTCCCTCTGCCAGGCACGGCCTCACATTGTGTATAAGTGGCCTCCTTGGCCTTTTTCCCTTGCACTAGAGCATAAGCGTTCATCTCTGAGTGCTCAGAGATCCACTGGAGCCAGCTCAGAGATGGTAGCAATCCTTGCTTAATACCTAAAGGCTGAAAGATCTCCGCTCTCCCACCTTCCTCCTTCTAATGTTGAGGGCTTTCCCTCCCTCCCTGCTGTACCTACCTCTTGAACTTGGCCCGCTGCTTCGGGGATGGCAGATGAGGGGGTCCTAGAGCCAAGGAGCCGCTGTGGCTGGTGGGCACGGGGACCCTCCTTAGCGTGCCTGGGGCCTGGGCTGGCTGGGTTAGACAGGGCTTGGGACTTCGTTTCTTCTTTTTGTCATCCATTGGGTGCTGGGCCTCTGGCCTGAGAAGGAAGCAACCTCTCTGAGATAGTGAGGGCCCAAGTTGTCCCTTTACACAGCAACCTCCGAGCTGCAAAGGAAGGACCCTGGTACTTTAAAATGTGTCCTCTCAAAACTGTCCCTTTGTCTGTGTGGGGCCAGGCAGCCAGGCCTATTTGCTGGGACCATCCAAGGTCCACCTGAAGCCTGGTTCTGCTGAAGGGCTAGCCAGCCAGTTAGCCAGGTGCTGCTGGGGTTCCCTGCCCTGGAGGCTCCAACACAGGAAGAGGCAGGGTGGGTACTAGCGGGCAGGTGCTTAGCTGAGGCTTAGGGGTCCCCTGACCAGGCCCACTGTTTATCAACTGCTTCAGCCCATATGATGCTGTCCAGCACTGTCGTGACCTAGGTGAGGGTGCTGGCTCCTGGGAAGGGCACAGTGTCAGGCAATAACCACCAGGGTGGGTATGGTGAGCCTGGGCACAGGGGCGGGCTCCTTGTGGGCCCCCCATTAGAAACCAACATCCTTTGTATTTCATCCCACACCCACCTGCCAATGCCAGGAATCCTCAGAAGTTCCTTGGGACAACTTAAGTCCCTTTAACCTTTTCCAGACAGAAAGTCCCTGGTGTGGGTGGGCAGGCAGCCCGTGGCCTGGGCCTCCAACAATAGCTGGGCCTGTGACTGGCACAGCTTAGGCGGCTTCCTGTTTAGCCCCAGCTCCCAGCCTCTGGTCTGCTGGGGTCCTCTCCAGGACCCTCATTCTGGGACAGTGTCTAGCCATTTAAAGCGGACACATGGCTGGCTGGCACCCAATGGGTGGGTCCAGGGCGTGGTGGAAAGGGATAGGGCGCATCTTCTGTTGCCGCCTAAAGCAGCCATGACCCAGTGATGGATTTGACAGAACTGGAGCAGGAATCCCTGGCTTCCCTCCCCCCCCCCCCCCCCACCCCCCGCCCCAGCAAGCACCCAAGGTTTCTCCTACTCAGTCTCCCAAGTCAAGCTTCCAAACAAACGCCCAGCTCCAGAGCCAGAGTCAGGCCCAGAGAGAGCGTTGCCCACCCCCCCTTGGGACAACTGACCTGATGGTTTGGGGTCTGCAGATGCAGTGTGCAAGCTCCCTCCGCTGGGCCGCTGCACTTCCCCGGGACCGGAGCCGGTGGCGGCAGCTAAGCCGACCGGAGGTAATTTGCATTTAAAGAGAAAGTGGCCTTCTTTGAGGCTGGGGATGGAGCGATCCTACATTTAGTAAGCTTTTCTTCTCACCCACCTTAAATCCGGCCAGAATTTGAGTGACCCTGTTAGTCATGTGATACAGATTTAAAATATTTTCCTTTTTCCATCAGTTTTGGAGGGAAGGTGGAGTCCTTTACAAAATGGTGGTGGCATCGTCAGGAAAGGGGGGCGGGGAAAGGAGAGGAAAGAAGGTGGGGGGAGATTAGGCAGCAGAATGCAAACACACAGAAAGCATAAACAATAACAGCCAGGAAAACAAAACAAACAAGCAAAGATTAACCAGGTAACCAGATCCCCCTACTACGCATTTGATGTACATTTAATCCTCATTACAACCCTGAATTACAATTATCATTGTTCATTAAGTCATTACTGAATAGTATTGTCACCTATGAATTTCTGCTGAGAGCCAGAACCCCTCTTCACCCCTAGCCCTAGGAAATGGGGAAGACCACTAGGTTTCCTGGCCAGATTCCAGCACCCAGGAAGGAAACCTGAGCTCCAGCAGGTAGCTGCCAGTGCGGGCACCACCTGTGAGGCTGGATCAATGGGACAGCTATTTAAAGACCTGGCAGAGGCTCCTGCCATCCCCAAGAGTAGCTTCTGATGTCACAAGAGTCTCATCCTTAGCCAGGCTACTCAGAAGGCTCAAATGAACTGGCCCTGGGCAAGTCACACAGACACTCATGTTCCTTTCTCAATGGGCAGGAGCAATTTTCCTGGGCTGGACCTCTGGATCCAAGGGGTACCACTTTGTTGCAGGTACCTTATTCAGGGGAAGGTGTGTGGGGGTGGGTGGGGCAGTGTTACAAGGATGGACAACAGGATGTCTCTTTGCTCAAATGCTATAGTTGTACCAGGGCTCCTTCAACTCAGTGACAGAAGGTCCAGAAATATTCTTGGGGTTCCCATAATCAGCCGCTTCCTTGGGGAGCCCAAAGTCTTTCCAGAGCTGCTGCTTTTTTTTGGAAGCTCCCTGAATTTAGTCAGCTGCTCTTTATCTGTTCTGAGAGAATCTTAAAAATTTTTTTCTTACTGATGCTGGGACTTGAACTCAGGGTCTTTTGCTCTCACTTAGCTGGTCCTCTACCGCTTGAGCCACACCTGTAGTATTCTTTTCTGTGGGTTGTGGAGCTAGAACACAGAGCCTAGGTGCTGTCCTGAGCTTTTTTGCTCAAGGCTAGCACTCTACCACTTTGAACCACAGTGTCACTTCCAGACTTTTGATGGTTAGAAATAGGAGTCTCTCATGGACTTTCCTGCCCAGGTTGGCTTTGAACTGTGGTCCTCAGATCCCAGCTGCCTGAGTAGTTAGGATTACAGCTGTGAGCCACCAGAACCAGGCTTATGACTGTTGGCGGTCATTAGTGTAATTTGTATACTCAGGCTGGCTCTAACCTTGAATCTCATTCTGCATCCTGAGTAGTTAAGATTATAGGTATGAAGCACTGGCACTTGACTCCTCCAGAGGATTTTTTTCCTTTTGTCAGTTGTGGGGCTTGAACTCTGGGCCGAGGCGCTATCCCTGGGCTCTTCAACTCAAGGCAAACACACTCTACCACTTGAGCCGCAGTGCCACTTGTGGTTTTCTGGTGGTTAGTTGGAGATAGTCTCACACTTTCCTGAGCTGGCTTTGAACCAAGATCCTGAGATCTCAGCCTCCTGTAGCTAGGTTTACAGGTGTGAGCCACTGGCACTCAGTCAGAGGGTCTTTTATTGCAACCAATGTGGCCAGCACAGGTATAATGAACTCACCAGGACCCTGGCTGGCAGGGGCAGAGATAAGCTAGGACTGTCACAGAGTGGGTATACACTTACCTACAGAGGCCTAGAGCAAGGACACTTCGGTTGCCCTTGCCATTTCTTGGGCACTCATCACATAGCATTTTGTTACAATTTGTACTTAACCCAAACCCCACAAACAGGGTGATGGGCAAGACCAGTTTAGTTGCCCATGAATGAACAGGGGAAAGAGAACAATTTACAGTTGTTCTGTTTTTTTTGTCTGTCGTGGGCCTGAACTCTGGGCCTGGGCGCTGTCCTTCAGCTCTTCAGCTCAAGGCTAGCACTCTACTACTTGAGCCACAGCGCCACTTCCGGCTTTTTTTTTTTCCTGCTTATGTGGTGCTGAGGAATGGAGCCCAGGGCCTCATGCATGCAAGGCAAGCGCTCTACCGCTCTACCACTGAGCCACCTTCCCAGCCCCAACATTTTTTTTGTTGTTGTTGTTTCTTGAGAGTGTCTATGTAGCCCAGGCTGGCCTCAAGCTCATTTTCCATACCCGATTCCTGAGTAGTAGGACTGCAGGTGTGTGCCAAGTTCCTTCTTTTGCCTTCCTCTTTACATTCAGCAGGTCCCCTCCCTGTCCTGATACATGTGCTGTGGGACTCAGCCTCATGCCCTTTGGTTCTATTGGGCATCTGCATTTCCCATAGAACCACCTGATGTTCTACCTCTGCTTGCCCTTTTGCAGGGTCTCTTCCACCTCAACATAGTATCACTGTCTTTACTAAAAGCACCATTTTATTCCCTAGCTTGTGACTCCAGAAACCAGTGGCAATCTTTTAAGATGGGGTCTTACTATATAGCTTAGGCTGGCCTTGAACTGACAATCTTACCTCTGCTGTGCTACCACACTTAGTTTATTTTCCTTAGTGAAGGAAACCCTCTGATGCACTATATGATCACCTTCCTACCTAGCAAAGGCAGCTCGTCGCTGACAAGGGAGGGGAGCAGATGCGGATTTGGAATAGGAAATGATCACAGGTCAGGAGATAAACAAATAAGGCAACAGACTTTATTTAATGTGGTGTAAAATACAATAAAGTCCCTGGCTGTTGTAAATAACAAAAGGGGACACCCCCTCCCCCCAAAAAAAAGCTATCTGCACAAACAGGTCTGGGTGTGGTCAGGCTGGGTAAAGAAAGCGGTTATGAGGACAGAGGCAGCTCCCAGCTGTCCAGGATGACCACCTTTTGCTGTGCAAGGTGGGAGGGCTAGAACAGACTCAGCAGGCCACCACAATAGGGGTGAAGGTTAAATACCATCTCTACAGAAATAACATTCTATGGCCAGTGCCTGAGCTCCACCCATGGTCCCAATACCTCATGGAAAACAAAAAAAGTGCTACGGACATAGCATGCGTGAAGCTCCCAACTGAACAAGTCCTGACAGCCAGCTACTATATGCAGAGTAAGGGCCCTGGAGAAAGGCTAATGATCCAAAAAGAAAAAAAAAAAAACAACCCAAAACCCAAACCAACACAGCTCTTGGTCCTGAAATTGAGGTCACACACGTGGGACTCACCTGGGTGAGGAAGGCACTGGCCCTCACTCGCGGTCGGCCATCTCCCCTCTATCTGGCCCAGATTGCTGGGCTGACTTTGAAAAGGAGAGCAGCTGTAGTGATTAGGAAGATTTGGTCAGTGGAGATCAGATCCCTGCCTATAGATTGGCCTGGGTGCCTAGAAATGCATGGAGCTGGGCCGAAGTTCTCGGGCCACCTGCACACTGACCTCCCATCCACCACAATGAGGACCCTACCCCTATCCCCATGTTTAAGAGGTAGCTGAAGTGAGACAAGGGCCACGTAGGCCTTTCTGCATCCTTCAAGGGGGCACCTCTATAGTCTAGCAAACCCTGTAAGGTTGGCAGCTTGTGTTCCTTATCCTGGCACAGGCTGGGAGAGCGAGATGGCCTTCCTGGAGCAGGAAGAGGCAAGGACTATGCCCAATACAGGGGAATTTTGAAGAGGGGAACATGAAATACTTCTCCATAGGAGGGCAGACCTCAGCTAGGATGGCAAAATCTCGGCACTCATACTGTTGCTGGGGCATCTTGGATGAATTAAGGATACGGGAGGGCATCAGCAAAGTTTGAAATAGACCAGTGGTGCATGCCATTGGACAAAGGTGGTGATTATTTTGCCAAGTCTGGTCTAAGTCAAAATGTGATTCAGATTATAACATTCTTCCTGAACCTATTTATTGGGGGAACTTAAGGGCTAGTTGTGAGAAATGAAAGGACTCGCAGGGCAATGATCTAGTTCAAACACATCAAGAGACAAAACCCACTTGGTCCAATCTTGATTTGTGGCTCCTTTAGCTCACGGAAGCTAAGACCCAGCAAAAGATGGGCACCATACCTCTAGGCCTGCTTGTAAAACCCATTTCTATAGCCCCAGAAAATTCTCTGTGCAAAGACTGGCTATTGCCCTGGCAGGTGTGCAACAAGAATTTTGAGCAGACAGAGCTGCTACATATAGAGCACAGCAACGGGTACAGGGGGAGTAAGATGGACACACAAATACCTGCAGCCATTTTGTGGATTTCCTGGGCCCAGGCTATCACTCGAGTTCATTCCTTAGCTGTTGGACAACAGCCGGGAGCTCCCACATAGAAAGAAGCAGAATCTCAAGGAAGGCTCTTATTTCTTGGGCAAAGGTGCTAGCAGGCAGCACCAGGACAAACCTCAAGTGCTGCTTATTTGGGTGGGGTTTAGAATGGGCAAGAAGCAGAAACTGACCCATAAAGCCAAGGGGACAAGTGGACCTGGAACCCACCAACTGCTTCATGGGGAAGGTGATGGCAACACCACCACCTTGGTGGCCTCTCAGGATTGAAACCCATAGGCAAATGATGGCAAAGCCACCAGAGCCTTTTCCTTTCTCTTAATCTTGTCTTCCCAAACAGGAAACCTCTTGGCACCAACATGACAGAAAAGCCAGGAGGGTGGAGCACTGGAGGCCAGGCACCTGGAGCACTACTGCAGCGCCCTGCTTTTCCTTCCTTAGAAGAGCAATACAAACTGTCACATGCAAAACAAAACCGTCAGACAGATCCTTTGGGTCATCTCTGGTCAGTCATTTGTGCAGGCTAGAGGCACCTGTGAATGATAAGGCTACTGAGAAGCAACATTGGCCTGGTCCTGGTACTGCCAGAGGTATGGGGAAGTGGTGCCCAAAGGCTCCTGGCCAGTGCACCATCTCACGCAGAAACATCCTCCAGGTTCCTTGTCCTAGGCAGGAAAGCAGCTCAACCGCCAGCTCTAAGCGCCCTCCGCCCGCAAAAGGCTCTGCCCAGGGACATCGTTCTGACTAAGAGGAGTAGCGATGCCTCCAGGGGAGCTAGGAGAGTCCAAGCTGCCCAAGCCCTGCTCACTAAAGAATGGAGTCCAGACCTGGGTGTATAGCTGTCACAGCTCAAAATGGCTAGGAGGGGTCTGAGCCTCAATTCAGGCAGGGAAAGGCTCAAGTCACCTGACTGCCAGCTCACTGTGACGGGAGCTACTGAGGACCTCTCTTCTGTTAGACTTCAGCTCACAGCAGAGCCGCCGACTTCATTTAGCATCACCCCAGCGCAAGCCCATTGTACACTTACAAATGTACCCGTGGCCTTGCACGTGTGCCCCATGAGTGTAAACTGACCCATAAAATCCAAACTTGCAAAGTGTCAAATGCCAGCTGGGTCAGAGCACCCTGGTCTCAGGGCTGGGAGTGGTGTACAGGCTATGCCTGGCTGGGTTGCTGCTCCCCTCCCAGCATACCCTGAGTACCAGGAAGTTCAGGCTGTGGCAGAGGTGGGTTCTTGGGGCCCTGTTTGACCTGATGCTTCTGTGCTCAGCCCTCCTGGGCAGGCAGGAACTTCTGTGGCCCTTGGGGAGTTGGGTGTTTGAGCCACAGGCCCCTTGCCACCCTGCTCCTTAGAGGTAATAGTAGCCTCTGGCCTCTGTTCAGGGCCAGTGTCAGTGAGGAGATTTTGACAGCCAGCACTGAGGTCCTGTACCCTCTTGTTCAGGTCATTACGTTCTGTCTGCAGTGCCCGGCACAGCTTCTCCAGCCGCTGGATTTTCACTTGTAAGCCTTCTAGCTCTTTGTCCCGAAGTGTCTTCTAGGGAGAGAAATGGGGCCTTTAGTGCCATCCCAGAAACCCCTAGTACAATGCTACACTTGCTGGGAAACACTTTCAGCAAGGCTAGCAGCAGCCATATCAAAATGTCAAAATGTTGAAAAATGTATCTTAAGTTGGCCTTTCTGATACACAGTCCCGGTTTATGGAATGATTTGGCTGTCAGCTGGAAGTAGTGTGGTCCAGATAGGGGCAAGGCTTGGAAGTCAAAGTATTCCCTAATTATCTACCAGGTGACCTTGGCAAAGCACTTGGTGTCTGAGAAGCAGGACTACACTCAGATCTCTGTCATCTGGCAAGCTGGTTTGTAGCTGCTTCTCCAGTGTCAGTTCTGTCCTTCCATACTGAAGCCCTCTGAGCTGTTCTACATGCATTGCTGGCAACCCTGTTTTTTTTTTTTTTCTGCTTCTTGTATCACTTCTTCCATTTGCTCCCTTGGGCTTCCCCATAGTCCTACTGCAGAGCTGACTACCTCCCAAAGGCATTACCTTTGGACTTGGACAGATATGCACGGGAATGCCAGCTCCACTTCCTGGCATCATCGATGGGAAGGAGGGAGATGAGAGGGCTGAGAGAGCCTGAGATACAGGAACTGTATCCCTAGCCCCATTCTGTTTACCTCCTCAGCCATCTCCAGCAGGGCCTTGTTGCTACTCTCCCATCGAGACCGGTACATGGTAGTTTCTTTCTCCAGCTTCTTGATCTTCTTGGTCATCTGGGTTACGTGACCGATGGAAAGAAACAGAGCTGGGTTATCTGCACATCTGTCTCTAAGGTGGGTAACAATCTCTTTTGTGCCACCCATCCATCCATCAGGAAGTCATAAGCTAAAAATCTACCAGGGCTGGGCGTGGGGGAGAGGATATGGGAGGCAGCTCATTTTGGCTTTAATCCCAAGCACTAAACATGCAGGAACCAATTAAAAAAAAAAAAATCAAACCAAACTGATGTCTGCTAGCAATCAACTCCTCTCCAGGGAAAAGGCTCATTTATTTTTTTGTCAGCTGTGGGGCTTGAACTCAGGGCCTGGCACTGTCCCTGAGCTTTTTCTCTTAAGGTTAATGCTCTACCACTTTGAGCAAAAGTACCACTTCTAGTTCTCTGGTGGCTAATTGGAGAAAAGAGTCTCACTGACTTTACTGCCTGGGCTGGCTTCTAACTATGATCCTCAGACCTCAGCCTCCTGAGTAATTAAGATTTTAGGTGTGAGCCACAAGTGCCTGACTGAAAGGCTCCTTTGATAGCAATCAGTGACTGTGAAGAGCTCCCGTGAAGTACCCATAGGTAGGTGGCTTTCTGAAGGGAGAGCCCCCTCTGTGAATGAAGTGACTTGTGCCTTTAACAGGCACACTTGGCCTGGACCATCATTACCTTTTCCATCTCCTGTTTGAATGTGGTGAATACCTCGCTGCTTTTGGAAAGTGTGTTCTGGAACTCTTCAAACTTTTCTGTGTATAGGGCGAGCTGGGTGAAGAAGCACACAGGTAAGCTAGATTCTTTGGAAGGCACCTCTGGCCAATTCACATCTTTCCTGACTCAACAATTGTACCATGATACCATTTTCTAATAAATAAAAGCAAATACATGGAAGGAAATAATCTAAAATGCTAAAATGCTCCTGGAAATAGGAGTTTTGAGTGCCTTCAACATATTAAGACCCTCATCTCTCTTTGCTGTTTTTTAGTGCTGGTACTTGAGCTTGAACTCAAGGCTGTTCTTTAGCTTTTGTTCAAGGCTAGCACTCTACCACTCAACCACAGCTTCACTCTTTTTTTTTTTCCTTACTGCTAGTTAGAGATGAGTGTCATGGATGGACTTTCCTGCTTGGACAGGCTCTGGCTTTGAGCCATGATCCCCAGATCTGTTTCCTAAGTAGCTAGGATTTCAGGCATGAGCCACCAGTGCCTAGCTTAACACCTCATCTCTTAAAAACTGAAAACAACTCTGTGTACCTATCTTTAGAAAAGCACACATTTCTGAGCTAGGAATGAAATCAGTCTTGCTCCTTGGTCACTCATCATTATAGATACTGCCTAAGGACAGCAAGAACAGAAGCGCATGGAGCTAGCTTCCCAGCGACTGAGGCAGAGCCAGCTCTGGAATGATTGTGTCATTCTCTACACAATGGGACCCAGCCAAATCTCATCTCACCTGCTGCTTCAAGTGTCTCACCTGCTGCTTCAAGTGGATCTCCTGCTGCTTCATCAGCTCACACATCCTCTGGGACTCCACCGCCTCTTTCAGGAGCTATTTCCAAGACAGACCACCGGACTCTCTCAGAAGGCCCCAAGGGCTATGCTTGGCCTTCTCAGCCCATGGAAGCTGAATGGTCTGACTGCTATCTAGATATAAACTTTCCCACCATCCCCATCCCATGTCCTCACATCCCCCACCCCAGCCCTGGGGTCTGAGCCTCACAAAGTCCTTCTCTCGCTGGTGTCGGTCCTCGGCCTCCTTCAGCATTTCCTGGGCCTGCTGGAGCTTGGCATCCACTAGTTGCTGCTGTAGGTCCTTGTGTTTGAAGACTTTGTCGATATGCTGTGGGAAAGGTGGAAGGAGGGGGTCTACTTGTCAGGAGGGAACCCCACTCCATCTAACCTCCATCTGACAGGCTGAACTCCTATGTGTCCAGCAGGATGTGAGCCATGTTCCTGGAAAGCCAACATCCCACTTTACCTATTTCTCTCTCAGTGAGTTAGACTTGGGGCAAGCACAGGGTTTATGGATGAAACCGGTTTCTAGAAAGCCAAACACACTCAGACCTTTTGACATCCAGACTGACTAACTCAAGGAATTATCAGGCTTCATTTTTGCAGTCCTATTCCTTTGGGACCAGGAACAAAGGGCAAAAGTACTTCTATAAACAAGCTAACTCAGATGATCCTAAAGAATAGCTGTTCTGGTTGCGAAATGAGCCTTGGGGGACCTGGAGAGGGTGAGAGAGTGAATGGAAAGGGAAAATCCCAGCTAGGCACTGGTGGCACATGCCTGTAATCCTAGCCACTTAAGAGGCTGAGATCTGAGGATCATGGCTCAACAGCAGTCTGGGCAGAAAAGACTGTGAGGCTCTTTTATTTTTTGTTGGTCAGGGGGCTTGAACTGTAGGCCTGGGTGCTGTCCCTGAGATCTTCAGCTCTCAAGATGAGTGTTCTACCACTTGAGCCACAGTGCTACTTCTGGTTTTATGGTGGTTTATTGGAGATCAGAATCTCACGGCCTTTCCTGCCCAGGCTGGCTTTGAAACATGATCCTTAGATCTCAGCCTCCTGAGTAGCTAGGATTACAGGGGTAAGCCACTGGCGCCCGGCTACTGTGAGGCTCCTATCTCCAATTAAGTACCAAAGTAAGCCAGAAGTGGGGCTGGGAAGGTGGCTCAGTGGTAGAGTGCTTGCCTTGCATGCATGAGGCCCTGGGTTCGATTCCTCAGCACCACATAAGCAGA